CTTACTCTCAATTTTCACTCTGAGCTTCCTGGACTTCAAGACACACAAAGTGTGCAGAACATGAATGGAAATGGGCTTCTCCACTCTTTTTGGGCTCATCTGTTCTTTGATTGTGCATGCTTTCAACCATCCAACAGATTCTTTCAGTTGTTAGAGGAGGTGGAGCAGCTGATGGCATGAAAGAGGCAAAAGGAGCTTCAGGCTGCATTACACAAGGGACTTGCCACTCTATTGCAAGCACAGAAGTTCAGGAGCTTCCCAGACTGCAGTTCACTACCAAACACCAGAAGTTGTTCGGCAGTCTGCAGTATTTGCCAATCAAATGCAGTTAGTGACACTCATAATCCCAGCTTTGGATCTTGGATAGAAGGGATCTGTGGCAGTGCAAACAAGACGTATGACATCGTTATTCTAAAATATTGCATTTAAAGTCTTTCACTCTTCATTCTGACAGACACAATATTTGGAAAGAGGTTTTCATTCTTCACACGTACCAGTTTTCATTTCAGGGGAGGGGCAGGGGAAGAGACCCCCCCCCTCCAAAAAAAACCCTTTGACTTTTTGTAGACTGCCAGATCTCTGGGTAGCTAAGAGATGAAGCAGCACAACAGACTGTCAACTTACAGATGAGGCTCTGAGTGAGGCAGGGGGCAAACACATTAAACACACGTGTGTTATGTGTCATCAAGTCACTTCTGACTTACGGCAAACCTATGAATGAATGACCTCCAAAGCATCCTATCGCTAACAGTCTCGCTCGGGTCTTGCAAACTGAGGGTCGTGGCTTCCGTGGTTGAGCCACTCCATGCCTCATGTCGGCTCTTCCTCTTTGCCTGCTGCCTTCAACATTTTGTCTTTTCCACTGAGTCTTGTCTTCTCATAATGTGACCAAAGTGCAATAGCCTCTGCTTGTTAAGCGTACCTGCATAAAAATTGGGTTACTTTGCAGGCATGGCTCACCTTCCCTTAGAGAAGAGGGATAGGAAGGAGCTACACAGTGCATTGAAGCCCTGGAACTCCTGATTAGAAGGAGGGTGTGCACAGGAAGGTATTGTCAGTGGCTGCTCCTCAGCGAATAAGTTCGCAGGCTCACCAAAGCCCATGTCTACACAGCTTCCCAGGAGAGGTCATGGACAGTATGTGATCAGGCAAAGGGAGAGACCATCAACTTAATTAGGATTCCTTTTATTAACATGCTGTTCTGTTCCCATGAGGCTTGGAACGGGGCAGGCCTTAAGTCTCTCTCTCTCTCTGTCTCCTCAGATCCCTGGCCTCTGTCCAAGTCCAGTGGTTTTCAACCAGTGGTTTTGAGGCAATAACCCTGGTGTTCCAAAGAAGAACAGGTTTCTCAATGAGAAGAGCTAGATTTGAGTCCAAGGGAGCTTTCTCTCGAAAGCTTATACCCTCAAAAGCTTGTTGGACTCAAAGGTACTACGGGACTCAAATCTGACTCTTCCACTGCAGACCAACATGGTTACCCTCTGAAACTATCCTCAATTAGAGGGCTGCTAATGGCAGACAAGCTTCCCCAACAGACAGCCTGACCCATAGTTACAATTGCTGATGTGCAACCTCTATGCATGGCCACAGGGAACTACTGGACATGGCTGGGAGACTCTCTCAGTTGATGCGAGATGGCGCAGAAGCTCAACACACAGGACCAGCACATGCCGCATAATCCAAGCCTGTACCCTTTAAAGCTTCTCAGAATGCTCTGCCACAGGAAAAAAATCCCTAAGCAAACACGCCGATGCGGAAAGCATTCCCTGAAGATAGAAAAAGGTTTGAGTACAGCGGCACCTTTAAGACCAACAAAGTTTAATTCTGGGTGTAAGCTTTTGTGGGCATGCACACGAAAGCTTACACCCAGAATTAAACTGTGCTGGTCTTAAAGGTGCCGCTGGACTCAAACTTTGTTTTGTTGCTTCAGATCAACACAGCTACCCATCTCAATCTATGTACCTGAATACAGAAAGTTTGAAGGGGAAAAATAGTTTGTTGGGGGGGGGAAAGTGTTAACAAGCACAGAACGAGAGGCACCAGTCAATGTTCAAGCAGCAGACACCTCCTTCCCCTCTCTAACTCCCCTCTGCCCAAAGTGGCATAGAGACACTCCCCCCCTCCGCTTGTTCAGTAATTTCACGCTACGGCGCCCGACAATGTAAGCACGCAGCTCAATCTGAAGGCGCTACTTCCCAAATGTCACTTGTTTGTGAACACATGGCTGAGCCCAAAATTGCTTTTAATATTAGAGCAGTTGCCTGCTGGCATTGCCAGAGTGAAGACTCCTGTCAGAATTTCCATGACAAACTGCCATTTTCTGGGGTCTGCAGCAATGAACCAAGAGACGTGGGGCCGAATACCTGGCATGCAAGGTCACATCACAGACATGATCACAGCCTTTAAAGTCTCCCATAAAATTTGGTCAGTGGTTTTGTGGGTGGGGGGGATTTACAGCTAAGTCATGTGATCATTTTTGACTTGCTGGCTTTTCCCCTTATGGCTTTCACCACTGCTTCAAAACTTAAGTCTTAGAGTTATAGCTTGCCCTGCACGCTTTGCTTATCCTGCATTTCCCAAAGATCTGATGGCTGGTGGCATATAGCTGACTTGTTTTTATATTGTGAGAGTTGTTTTTTTCACAGAAGAGCTCACTGTGTGTTCCTGCGTGTGTCACAGTCACAAGTGTGTCTTCTGATTGGAAAGCAAACCAAAAGCATGGATGCACACAAACACACAACAGGCAGTTACAATTTGTCTTTGTATCAGGAGTGTTTGATCAATCCAATGACACCGGCTTCAGGTACAGTAAAATCATGTGCTACTTGGGTGCAGTTCCTTCCCAGAAAAAGGAAGTACATGAGGGATGAAAGCATACGAAGGATATGTTAAAAGAACTACAAGGCTTATTAGTGAGAACTAATTTTGTAGACAAGAATGTAGAAGAAGAAGAAGAAGAGATTGGATTTATACCCCGCCCTTCACTTGGAGTCTCAGAGCGGCTTACAAACTCCTTTCCCTTCCCCTCCCCACAACAGACACCCTGTGAGGTGGGTGGGGCTGAGAGAACTCTGACACAAACTGCTCTTTTTCAAGGACAGCTGTGCAAGAGCTTGTGACTGACTCAAGGTCACATCAGCAGGTGCAAGTGGAGGAGTGGGGACTCAAACCCGGTTCTCCCAGATTAGAGTCCGCACACTTAACCATTACACCAAACTGGCTCTCATGTAAGCTGTAGCCACATGCAGCAAGAATGACCCCTTGGACAATGATCCAGGAACACAGCTGCAGGTGAAAACTTTACGGACAATTCACCTGTTCTAGTGGAACACTCATAAACAGTGCTCAAGCAAGCTCCCTTGCACCCCACAACCTACTTGGCTATGTCAACCAATACCCCTACGATTGCAGGGGGAGGCTCCAGGAAGGCAGACAGCCAGACCTCAAACAAGACAAGCTGAAACAGAGGGACTGCCTGATTAAATCCTCCTCCCACTCCAAGCTGCATTCTCAATGCCCAACGGAATTCCCATCAAATGGCTGCACATCTCTGCCAAGTTATGTCGATCGGAAAGAAAATTGTCGAGATTTGCTTCTGTGGAATTGAGGGAGAATTTCTTTTAGAACAAGCGTGGAGAGTTCAGATGTCAAAAATCTGTCAGCTTCTAATAGGTCCCTCGAGAAGCAGGGTTAAGAATTACCGGGGGGGGGGGGGAGATGACAGATGAGAGAGGACCCACCCCCATTCACCAGAGATAGGCTTTGCTTCACAAAAGGATGCGCTTGCTGTGATGGCGGACTGCTACGTGCAGTTTATCTGCCCCTGCCCAGGCAGTGATGAAACGACATATGGGAAATAAGGAATAGTTTGTGTGCATCGCTGCAGGGGAAGGTGAGTCCTGGGCAGAGGCAGGGCAGACAGTATCAATCTGGCAAAGACCAAGAAGGTGCAGGGGGGAGGGAGAAAGGAAATAAAAGTCATTTTGACTTGTGGTATTCCGGGAGTTCTCCACCAGCTTTCGCAAAAGATTCAGAATGCCAAAAGGAGACGCGTATGTTTACGTCTCCATGGAGTGCACTTCCACGGCTCCATAAACAGCCGCTCGTGGTGATGAGCAAGCAACACCAATTAATTTTGAAGCGAACAGGGACAGCATGGTGGGCAGCTCGGAAGTGTTTGCTGGGTGGAAGACAACAGACGGAACTGCGGCTTTGAGCACTGCCAAGTAACTAGGCAGCGCGGTGGGAAGGCTGGAATGGGAGAGACTGCCAGGTTTTCAAACATGTTCCCAGTCTGTTGTGAGCAATCACAGCAACAGAAACCCCCCAAAAAGCAAAAACATTATGTTGGAATTCACCCCTAGGGAACAGTCATTAGTAACTGCTGCAGCCCATTCTGAGTCCGGGGTTAGAAGCCAAATAAACTGCATTTCCATTCACCTGTTTTTGCTCCTCAGGCTTACCTGTATTAGCTAAAGTTCAATACAGAAACACATGTAGAAGTCAGCCTGTGCAGCATCACATCCTTGGTGTGGTGCAAGATTGGTGGCTTGCAAACTGAGAAGACAGCCTTGGGAATGCACAGTCCCTACCCCCTCCCTGTCCCCGGCAACAGAAATTACACATACACCTTTCCCATGGGTGGCCTAAAACCAGGATGTGGCATTCTATCTGCTCCAAATGTAACCACAGCCAATGACAGACGAGCTTGCAAACCCTGATTCAGAAGAAAGCTGCTTAGGTATTGACCATAGCATTGATGCGCATCTAGTACTAAACCAAGGTAAAGCCAAACAAAAGGAGTAGAGAATTTGCACCCTGCAGGGGAACCCAGAGGGCGCATGAGTTCCTGAGGCTGGCTCCAAATTCGCAAGCCACACTATGCAGGGCACCAGCACGGCCTCTGCGCTACACATTTCCAGTTTTCCTCTACAAGTGTCACTACCGGGTTACGCTCCTCTGCTTTCCCCCAGCTAAGTGTCAAGATGTAGGGAACTTACCTGGGTGGCCATCTTGCCATAATCAATCCATCGCAGCGTGGCGAAGTTGGTGGACTCAGCGCAGTTGAAGCCGTGGTTGAATCCAGCATGGTAGCCATAAGGAAAGGTAATCATGAACTCGCCAGCTTCTTGGGTGATCTGAAAAAAGATGTAATGAGCGCACTGTCAGGCAGGCAGGAAACAGAGTTCTGCCTCAGGCAAACATGGCTGATTTTTCAAAGTGGGTCAGATGACCCAGTCCCCACAGTGCAATTTATGCAACCACACACCAGGAGGAGTCCATGCAACCACACACAAGCCTAAGGTGGCCCTGGGTTATGTTCAAGACTCTATGCATATCCCTGTATTAGACCTTTCAGTATTAGGATTTTTCATTAGACCTTTCAGTATTAGAATTTTTCATCACAAAGCTCCCAGAAGCACAAACTAACATCCAGGTCATCAAAGAAAGAGTTGGCAAACTGGTGCTCAGCATCACTCCCCAGATGGGCAGCTTGGCTTGGGATGGCCAGCTCTTGTCAGCCTTTGCCATAATGGCACGGCCTGCCACATGTGTAGAAAATGGGGAGGGGGGAGAACCCTACCCAAGTGCAAGCATTTCCATCTGTACTGCACGTACAAGGGAAACCTAGTCCTAGCAAATGAATCTTGTTTGGAAGTACAGCTCCAAGATACATCATCTGATTCCAAGTCAGTTTCAGGTGGCAGAGTTTCACAGAAAGACTTGAGAAGCCCCGAACTGACAGAGAACATCTGAGGACACCATTTCTAAAGCAATGGGACAACAGAAGGAAAGAACTGGGGTTGGGGTAACAGCAGCTCGTTCATGTGGCCAAAGGACTAGTAGCTCTACACCCTTGAACAGAATACGCAGGTGGCCAAAGTCCCAGAAATCTGCACTGCGTGGATCTGAGCTGTGAAAAGCTCCAAATTTATATGCACACTTGCACTGCTGGACAACTACTTATCAGAGAAAACTATATATATAATTATCAGTAGTCCCCTCTGTGTGCAGATACTTATTTCTGCAAACAGAGAGCACACTCTCCTCCAACAGGTTGTTGTTGTTTTTTTAACAGACTCAGGGGACTCTGTGGGTCTGCCGAAAAATCCAAAAAGTTAAAAAAAAAAAACCAAAACCTTGGAGAGGGTTAAATACCCCCCCTTCCAATACCTTTTGAAATGACCGCCACAGGGATCTATCTACTCCAGGCCTTGCCCCATCAACAGTGAGAGATAAGACTGGTTGATAGCCAGAGAGAAAGAGAGGGATGATAAGTGGGGGAAGAGGGCAGGAAGCAAAAGCAGAACTGGAGCTGGGATTGGGAAGAATTCTTCCTGCAGTATGAATGGCAAAATAGCAGGGGGTTTGGAGCCAGGCCTGAGATTAGGATTGCCTGCTCCAGGTTGGGAAATTCCTGGAGATTTTGTGGTGAAGTCTAAGGAGTGCAGAGTTTGGGGAGCGGAGAAGCCTCAGCTGGATATAATACCATAGAGTCCACCCATTTTCTCCAGGTGGACAGATCTCTGTTGTCTGGAGTTCAGGTGTAATTCTGGGGGATCTCCAGGTCTCACCTGGAGGCTGGCAAACCTAGGCCTAGCAGCACCTGACTTGCATGACTCAACTAGGCCTGGGTGCTTGCTACTGTTCAACAGCAGCCACCCTATGGAAGTCAGTGTAGTTATAGTCAAGAGCTTCAGAGTAGGGTTTGCGAGACCCAAGTTTAGATACCCATCTTGCTGTGGAAGCTCACTGGATGATTTTGGACCAGTCACACATACTTTCACCCTAACCTACTTCATAGGGCTGTTGTGTGGATAAAAAGGAGGAGAGAATAATGTCAACTGCTTTAGTCCCCACTGTGGAAAAATATCATAGTTTTCCTCTGCAGAAGCTGCAGGGGGAAAAGAGACGGAAAGCTGAAGACAGAGGGGTAGATAAAGATAAGTTGGCTGTTAGGTGGGAAGGAGACAGGAATGACAACTCTAGGTTGGGAAATTCCTGGATATTTGAGGGGCAGATCCTAGGGATGGTGAGGATTGAGACAGGGAGGGATTTCAGACAGATATAATGCCATAGACTCCACCCTCCAAAGTAGTCATTTCCTCCAGAGCTGTTGCCAACCTCCAGGTGAAGGCTGGCAATCTCCTGGAATTATAACAGATCTCCAGATGACAGAGATCAGTTCTTGTGGAGAAAATAGCTGCTTTGAAGGCTGGAGTTTATGGTATTATACCCTGCTAAAGTCACTTCCAAGCTCAAACCTCATCCTCCCAAGGCTCCACCCCCAAATCTCCAGGAATTTCCCAACACTGAGCTGGCAACCCTAAGAGGAACTGATCGCTGTATTTGGGCAATCCGTTGTGATTCCTGGAGAGTGGCTGCTGCCACTGCAGCTGTGGGGGGACAGAAATAGGTGGGAAGCCAGGACAGTGACAGGGGCAGAACAAGTGATGGGGTAGGGGCAGAAAGAAAGTGACAGGCATGGAGAGAGAGAAAAAGAAAAGGGGTGGCAGGAAGGAGAAAGAGTATGAGAGAAATAGGGGGAGAGAGGAAGAAGCAGAGGTGGGGGGGAATGAAATAGCCGCTCCCGCAAGTTTCTTGCGGGTCACCACTTGTGCTGTATAATTGAATTGCCTAAAAACACACACAGAACAGAAACTCCACTTTAAACTTCCCATGCATCTCTCCAAGGTGGTTTTTCTTCTCTCCTAAATCACTCTCCCTTCAGTTCAATTACACATCTGAGACAACTCAATCAGCAGAACCAGAGGAGGACCTGATAGTGGAGTAAACATCCACCTAATGAGATTAAAAGAGACATGATGCCAAGCACCAATTTCACATCCCGTGTATCTGCAACTGTGACTGAGATTTGCACACTGCCCAAAAGGCAACACCCAATCCTTGCTGCTGCTCCTGCAAATGCTATGAGGCTGGATGAAGTCTGGGGGAAGCTGGACTGTATTCATTTTATTACATAACTGAGGGAGTCAAGAAGAATAATCTGAGAAACTGTGCCCTGGGTAAGACTGGTTGATAGCCAGAGAGAAAGAGAGGGATGATAAGTGGGGGAAGAGGGCAGGAAGCAAAAGCAGAACTGGAGCTGGGATTGGGAAGAATTCTTCCTGCAGTATGAATGGCAAAATAGCAGGGGGTTTGGAGCCAGGCCTGAGATTAGGATTGCCTGCTCCAGGTTGGGAAATTCCTGGAGATTTTGTGGTGAAGTCTAAGGAGTGCAGAGTTTGGGGAGCGGAGAAGCCTCAGCTGGATATAATACCATAGAGTCCACCCATTTTCTCCAGGTGGACAGATCTCTGTTGTCTGGAGTTCAGGTGTAATTCTGGGGGATCTCCAGGTCTCACCTGGAGGCTGGCAAACCTAGGCCTAGCAGCACCTGACTTGCATGACTCAACTAGGCCTGGGTGCTTGCTACTGTTCAACAGCAGCCACCCTATGGAAGTCAGTGTAGTTATAGTCAAGAGCTTCAGAGTAGGGTTTGCGAGACCCAAGTTTAGATACCCATCTTGCTGTGGAAGCTCACTGGATGATTTTGGACCAGTCACACATACTTTCACCCTAACCTACTTCATAGGGCTGTTGTGTGGATAAAAAGGAGGAGAGAATAATGTCAACTGCTTTAGTCCCCACTGTGGAAAAATATCATAGTTTTCCTCTGCAGAAGCTGCAGGGGGAAAAGAGACGGAAAGCTGAAGACAGAGGGGTAGATAAAGATAAGTTGGCTGTTAGGTGGGAAGGAGACAGGAATGACAACTCTAGGTTGGGAAATTCCTGGATATTTGAGGGGCAGATCCTAGGGATGGTGAGGATTGAGACAGGGAGGGATTTCAGACAGATATAATGCCATAGACTCCACCCTCCAAAGTAGTCATTTCCTCCAGAGCTGTTGCCAACCTCCAGGTGAAGGCTGGCAATCTCCTGGAATTATAACAGATCTCCAGATGACAGAGATCAGTTCTTGTGGAGAAAATAGCTGCTTTGAAGGCTGGAGTTTATGGTATTATACCCTGCTAAAGTCACTTCCAAGCTCAAACCTCATCCTCCCAAGGCTCCACCCCCAAATCTCCAGGAATTTCCCAACACTGAGCTGGCAACCCTAAGAGGAACTGATCGCTGTATTTGGGCAATCCGTTGTGATTCCTGGAGAGTGGCTGCTGCCACTGCAGCTGTGGGGGGACAGAAATAGGTGGGAAGCCAGGACAGTGACAGGGGCAGAACAAGTGATGGGGTAGGGGCAGAAAGAAAGTGACAGGCATGGAGAGAGAGAAAAAGAAAAGGGGTGGCAGGAAGGAGAAAGAGTATGAGAGAAATAGGGGGAGAGAGGAAGAAGCAGAGGTGGGGGGGAATGAAATAGCCGCTCCCGCAAGTTTCTTGCGGGTCACCACTTGTGCTGTATAATTGAATTGCCTAAAAACACACACAGAACAGAAACTCCACTTTAAACTTCCCATGCATCTCTCCAAGGTGGTTTTTCTTCTCTCCTAAATCACTCTCCCTTCAGTTCAATTACACATCTGAGACAACTCAATCAGCAGAACCAGAGGAGGACCTGATAGTGGAGTAAACATCCACCTAATGAGATTAAAAGAGACATGATGCCAAGCACCAATTTCACATCCCTTGTATCTGCAACTGTGACTGAGATTTGCACACTGCCCAAAAGGCAACACCCAATCCTTGCTGCTGCTCCTGCAAATGCTATGAGGCTGGATGAAGTCTGGGGGAAGCTGGACTGTATTCATTTTATTACATAACTGAGGGAGTCAAGAAGAATAATCTGAGAAACTGTGCCCTGGGCTGATGAAGAGGGAAGGGAGGGGTCCACTGGACTTTCCACACCTGTTGCCAAAATGGCTTGGTGAATCCCAATTAAGACCCCACTGCATTGTAAGCAATGTTCCAGGGGCTACAGGTGGGGGGGGGTAGAAAGAGAGAGAGAGAGAGAGAGAGAGAGAGAGAGAGAGAGAGAGAGAGAGAGAGAGAGAGAGAGAGAGAATATGTGTGTGTCATAGACTCCTAGAGTTGGAAGGAGCCATACAGGCCATCTAGTCCAACCCCCTGCTCAATGCAGGATCAGCCTAGAGCATCCCTGACTAGGGTTCATCCAGCTGCTACC